GTATGTAATGTAATGTACTGTAATGTACTGTAATGTACTGTAATGTAATGTAATGTAATGTAATGTAATGTAATGTAATGTAATGTAATGTAATGTGGTGTAATGTAATGTAATGTAATGTAATGTAATGTAATGCAATGCAATGTAATGTATGTAATGTAATGTAATGTAATGTAATGTAATGTGATGTGATGTGATGTGATGTGATGTGATGTGATGTGATGTAATGTATGTATGTATGTATGTATGTATGTATGTATGTATGTATGTATGTATGTAATGTATGTATGTATGTATGTAATGTAATGTAATGTGATGTGATGTAATGTAATGTAATGTAATGTAATGTAATGTAATGTAATGTATGTATGTATGTATTCATGTATGTATGTATGTTATGTATTGTATGTATGTAATGTAATGTAATGTAATGTAATGTAATGTAATGTATGTAATGTAATGTAATGTAAGGTAATGTAATGTAATGTAATGTAATGTAATGTAATAACAAGCCTAAATGTAATACGCCACCAACCCACCCGCTGGCGTCCACTTGCAATGAGGCTCTCTGCAAACCTCCGCCGCCTCGTGATCTTGTGGTCGCAGACCGGTGCTGCGCCAACTTGGATGTCGTGCGTGCCGCAGCACGTCACCGCCACATTCAAAGGCTCAACCGGTTCTCGTAGCGCTCGTTACATCCATTTCCGTGCACTTCCGTAGGCTTCTTTTTCTGGCAACTTTGACGCCACGCCAGGGATTCACAAGAGTGCAGGTGGTTCTAAGCCGCTGTGGTGAAACTGTGAGCTTTACTGCGATTCCAATGGAAGCCCCTCTAAAGTGACACAGGCATCATTGAGGTGGCCCACTTTTTGGGAGCTGGTTTGAAGGGAATCCAAAGGGAACCCTTCCACAGTTCGAGACAAGACCTGAGCTGCCTGGCACGTTTTTGGACAGGCTTTGCTTCGGTAGTTGGTTCAAGGAAATGTCTACGTTGCCACGCGTGGAGCGAAGGCTGCTAGCGCAGTTGTGAATCGACCTATCCTGCCATGAGCGCCACTTTGACTCGTTCGACGTCTTTTACTCGGGAAGGGCCGACAGTGCGCGTCACACCATCTCCGGCTGTTTGGCCGAGACCCGTGCTCGTGCAGTGTAAGGCAGTGTGGAAACAACCAGACTCTGGCCCCTTTGCAAGGGGAACTAAAAGGAGGTTGCGGAATCCAAAGCCCCAGTCAAATCTATATAGCAGGCAAGCCAGGTTGTTTTCAGCTTCCAAGCTGGTTCCCTTGGCACCCACTCTACAGATAAATGGGTACGATGGCTTAAGCCGGGCACAAGTGCGTGAGCCTGGAAGGTTCCCAGCCAGCTGGAGTCCCAACGAGAGACTCCATTGCTGGTTCCGCTGGATGCTGGTGCAATGCAGCTGCGCAATCTGCAGCCAAAGAACGTTCTTGAGCACAAGCAGTACCTTGGTGACAAAAGGAAGCCCGGGCCAGTTCGAGCGTAGGGTTTCTTGGAGGCCCGGCTTGGGTTGAATGGACTGGACTCATTGGGCGTGTTTGCGTGTCTCTTTTTTCTTTGAGGGGGGGGGGGCGTTAGATTGAAACGTTTCTTCTGAACCCTTGCCATTTCCGGTGGGTTAGCTTGCAGAGCCGTTGCACACCCTCGCTCCAACAATCATGTAAGCTGATGGGGAGGGGAGTCAGAAGACTTGTTTCCTGCCAGGCAAGCCCCCTGTCAAGTTTTATCGTGGTTGGAAAACTTATTCCGTTGCATTCCGTTGCAGATGGATCTTGAACCCAGTATAAAACACATGTTTCAGGCGGGATCCATTTTTGTCAGAGGTTTTCAAGCTGAGGTTGTCGTGGGACTTCAAATGTGGCCGGAAAGTCAAATTGGACACCCGGCCGGCGAAGCAGAGCGTGGAGATGCAACTTCGGCCCACGGCCTGGAAGGATGGCGGGGCCGTGGTCATTGTTGCTCGCCTGCGAGTCAACCCTTTCGCCGAAGCTGGAAACGTGTTCCCCTCGCTTACACACTGTATTCCGTTCTGATGTCCAAAGGTGTCATTCCCACTTCAGTCTTGAACAGCACCCAAAGAAAAGGCCATAAACAGGCCAGCAGCTGTCCGCTTTCATTTGATTGTGGTCGGAAAGGTTGTTCCATGTTGTTCCCAAACCGCCGCCTATGGGGCAACTAAGTAGTCATAAGCCTTGTAGATTTTTTGGGAACAAGAATGACCTTTCTCCCACCTGTAAACCTGGAACATGATGGGGATCCTTGTTGCCGGAAATTGCGGCCTTTCAGGTTCCAGGTTTGTCTTTCCCAACAGCATTGTGAAGGGTTCTTCCGGCAAAGTCGTTGCGTTCTTCACAGCTCAACTGCATAGGGAAAGCGGGCAGTGAAATGCATAGAGGCATGCGTAGGGAAAGTGCACAGTGAAATGCATAGAGGGCTGCATAAGGAAAGTGCACAGTGAAATGCATAGAGGCGTGCGCAGGGA